ATTAGTTTCTCCAGGGTTAGGTTGCTCCAAGGGATTAGTTTCTCCAGGGTGAGGCTGCTCCAAGGGATCAGTTTCTCCAGGGTTAGGTTGCTCCAAGGGATTAGTTTCTCCAGGGTGAGGCTGCTCCAAGGGATTAGTTTCTCCAGTGTTAGGTTGCTCTAAGGGATTAGTTTCTCTAGGGTGAGGCTGCTCCAAGGGATTAGTTTCTCCAGGGTGAGGCTGCTCCAAGGGATCAGTTTCTCCAGAGTTAGGTTGCTCTAAGGGATTAGTTACTCCAGGGTTAGGTTGCTCTAAGGGATTAGTTTCTCCAGGGTTAGGTTGCTCTAAGGGATTAGTTTCTCCAGGGTGAGGCTGCTCTAAGGGATTAGTTTCTCCAGGGTGAGGCTGCTCTAAGGGATTAGTTTCTCCAGGGTTAGGTTGCTCTCAGGGATTAGTTTCTCCAGGGTGAGGCTGCTCTAAGGGATTAGTTTCTCCAGGGTTAGGTTGCTCCAAGGGATCAGTTTCTTCAGGATGAGGCTGCTCAAAGTATTTTTAAGCTAATAAAAATTCTTAAAGTTAAAAAAGTTTTATGATTTCAAAATGATGGATTTTCAAAACTTTTTAAACTGAGGCAGAAGACAAGCTAGACAGTCGGGTTGGCGCTGTGGCTAAAACAGACAAGGTTTTAAATGAATATTGTTCACAGCTTTAACGTTGTTTAAATTTTTATAAATTCTTTCCTTAAACTTTGAAGCTGACCTTTTAGGGAAAATAATTAGAATTGTTCTAAGATGTAAAAAAAAGAAATCACCCACTCAATCCCCCTCCTCCCTCCCCCTCAAAACTAAATGTGTATTTTTAAAAATTGCTTTAGTATTTACAGGTCACAAAAATAAAACAATTAAATATGTGGGCGCCCTGCTGTCTTTCATTGCAGCCATTTATATTAGAAGTTAATAATATCCAAGGTACTAATGCAAGGAAAGTTATTTCAGAGGTGTACGCATTTTTAAGCATTTTTTTTACTGCAGTGTACTGTCTTTGGGCGGAAAAGTAAACACAAGACGGATGTCAAAGCCTGACATGGAATTATTAAATCGTGATTAAACTGAAAAGTACCAAGCGCGTTTCTTCCCAGACACGGTGTGCGTTAACGTTATCTACAACGAAGCGCATTCTGTCTGTATTTTAAGTCATGCTTTGATCTTTTACTCAGAATCCGTTAAAAATAGCCTAAACCCAACTCTACTTAAATATTTGAAATAAAAAGCCGAAGGAAAGAGTGTGAAATAGCAGATACGAAAAATCTACGTTTCATGGGTGAAAATGGGATTCTGAAATTTTGACTCACAGGAGTTCTAGTTTACCGTCAGTGATTACATATTCCATATAGCACTTCTCGTACTGAGATTTACTGCGTCATTCAACCCGTTTGACGTACTGTGTTTTACTTCCACCTCTTTTTTAACCCCACCGGCCACCATATCCCTTTAAACAAATTGTTATGGAAATTTTCTTGTTTTATGCACATTGTACAATGCACTTTTTACTTTTTTTGTCGTAATAAAGTCTTTCATGATATATAAAATGGATGGATAGATGGTTTAATTTATTGTTGCTTCCTTATCTTCTGGTGTCAACAGAGTGGTAATAATAAATGTTAATGAAGGAAAAGGGGGGGGGAGGCAAAGTAAACCTTTGAACCCCTTTTCACCTATATAAACGTGGATATTTCTTATTTCAAATATTATATTTGTTAGACTAGGTTTGAAGTTATTTAATGGGGTTTGCAGTTGTAAGATGGGTTTGAAGATGCTGGATAGATGTTGAAGTTGTTAGATTGGTGTTGAAGTTGTTAGATGGGTTTGAAGTTGTTAGATTGGTGTTGAAGTTGTTAGATTGATTTTGAAGTTGTTAGATTGGGTTTGAAGTTGTTAGATTGGTTTTGAAGTTGTTAAATTGATTTTGAAGTTGTTAGATTGATTTTGAAGTTGTTAGATTGGTTTTGAAGTTGTTAGATTGGTTTTGAAGTTGTTAGATTGATTTTGAAGTTGTTAGATTGGTTTTGAAGTTGTTAGATTGGTTTTGAAGTTGTTAGACTAGGTTGTTTTAAAGTTGTTAAATGGATGTTTAAGTTGTTAGAAGGGTTTCAATGTTGTTAGACTAGGTTTGAAGTTATTAAATGGGGTTTGAAGTTGTAAGATGGGGTTTGAAGATGTTGGATAGATGTTGAAGTTGTTAGATTGATTTTGAAGTTGTTAGATTGGTTTTGAAGTTGTTAGATGGGGTTTGAAGTTGTTAGATGGGTTTGAAGTTGTTAGATGGGGTTTGAAGTTGTTAGATGGGTGTTGAAGTTATTAGATGGGTGTTGAAGTTGTTAGATTGGTTTTGAAGTTGTTAGATTGGTTTTTAAGTTATTAGATGGGGTTTGAAGTTATTAAATGGGGTTTGAAGTTGTAAGATGGGTTTGGAAGATGTTGGATATATGTTGAAGTTGTTAGATTGGTGTTGAAGTTGTTAGATGGGTTTCAAAGTTATTAGACTAGGTTTGAAGTTATTAAATGGGTTTTGAAGTTGGCAGATACGCTTTGAAGATGTTGGATAGGTTTTGAAGTTGTTAGATTGGTTTTTAAGTTGTTAGATGAGGTTTGAAGTTGTTAGATGGGGTTTGAAGTTGTAAGGTGGGACTTGAAGTTGTAAGGTGGAATTCAAAGTTGTAAGGTGGGACTTGAAGTTGTAAGGTGGAGTTTGATGTTGTAAGGTGGGACTTGAAGTTGTAAAGTGGGATTTGAAGTTGTAAGGTGGAACTTGAAGTTGTTAGATGGGGTTTGAAGTTGTAAGGTGGGACTTGAAGTTGTATGGTGGGACTTGAAGTTGTAAGGTGGAATTTGCCGTTGTAAGGTGGAATTTGAAGTTGTAAGGTGGAATTTGACGTTGTAAGGTGGAATTTGAAGTTGTAAGGTGGAATATGATGTTGTAAGGTGGAGTTTGATGTTGTAAGGTGGGACTAGAAGTTGTAAAGTGGGATTTGAAGTTGTAAGATGAGACTTGAAGTTGTAAGGTGGGACTTGAAGTTGTAAGGTGGGACTTGAAGTTGTAAGGTGGGACTTGAAGTTGTAAGGTGGAGTTTGATGTTGTAAGGTGTGACTTGAAGTTGTAGGGTGGAGTTTGATGTTGTAAGGTAGAGTTTGATTTTTTAAGCTGGGACTTGAAGTTGTAAGGTGGAGTTTGATGTTGTAAGGTGGAGTTTGAAGTTGGGACTGAAAGAAACGGAGTATGAACGCCATACATATATAATATGTATATAAACGATTGTATGTGAACACTTTTTGTGATAAAAAGATTAATTATTGTTCTCTGTTAATGATAAAGGAAAAGTAGGTTATATTTACCATTTCTCTCTCTTCAGTTTTATTCACAATCATTTTCTGTATTGGACTGGTTTAATCTTTATAGAGTTTTGTAGCGGAGTCGTTTGTTCAATTTTTAACCCATTAACAAAAAAATACTTCATAGAAATTTAATTGCTTCTAATCGTTAACTCTCCACCGTGCTCCCAGGCTGTTTTACATCTGTTTAAAGGGAATGACCGGCTATGTAAGGTAGTTAAACTGAGTGCAGTGTTGTGGACAAATTTTTTCAGATTCATTTGAAACATATAAAACTTTTTTCACGATGTATAATTGCTTAGTTTGAGCGCATAGTCGGCGTTCAAATCATGAATTTGGGTGGGTACGTTTTCAGAATCGGTTTTTTAAAATTATTAGATAACGACGACGAAAAATAAAGTAAATATTATACAGTAAACCAATCAGATGTTTAGAAACATATTTCTCTAAAGAAATTTGTCAATAAATTATTGTTATTTCGTTTTCATCATTATATTGAATTTATTCGCAGATTTCTACAAATTCTTCAAATGTCGTCTTTTCAATAAAAATTTCAGAAAATCTATGTGAATATAATGAGAGATTATAGAAACTATTTCGATTATAAGATTAATTTCTATTTTCTCAATATGTTCCTTAACAACTAATTAGTTTAACGTAGAATTATGTTTACATTTTTTGTCGTCGTTATTTAATAATTAAAAAAAAAACAATTCTGAAAACGTATCTACCCAATTAAGTACGATTTTGAACGTCGACTTTACGCTCAAACTCAGAATTTACAGATCTGTAAAAAGTGTTATATGTCTCAAATGAATCCTAAAGAATTTGTCCACAACACTGCATACTCAGTTAAACTACCTTACATACCCGGTCTGTCCCTTGAATGCATTCTGCTATTGTATATTTGGAGTGCAACATTTTTTGACTATTTCAAAGGTTTTATTCTATAAATTGATCCTTAATGCTTTTAGGAAATTTCAGATTTAAAATGGAGAATCCTATTATACGGAGAAAACAGTCCTCCAAGGGAACAATCCAAAATCAGTAATTAACCAGCCATCTCCTTTTTATACAATAATCGTATTTTCAAAAAAAAATAATAAAAAGTGAAAAATATGAGGGTTAAAATTACCCCCCCCCCCTCCTCCTAGATATTTCTATTTTGGATTGATACCTCTAGTTGGTGAAAATAATGCCAAAGAGAACAAATATATCGGATCTATTGCTGGGGGAGAGCAGGGTTATGTGTAGGTTAGTTTTAATAAAAACAGACAATAAATCATAGATTCTAGATTCAAGATAAAAGATCCTAGATCGTTGATCCTGGATTCAAGTCCATGATCCTATGTCTAAAATGTTCATGATCCTAGATCCAATTTGTCCATGATCCTATGCCTAATATGTTCATGATCCTAGATCAAAGAGGTCCATGCATGATCCTAGGTCCTTGAATATATATCCTAGATCCTATATAGTATATTATCTATATGTAGATGGAGATCCTCCCTATGGAAATTACTCTGGAGAGAACTACTTCTCTATACTCTGGCCTATCTAGGGGTTTCATGCATTTACAGGTAAAATGTAGTTATAACGCAATTAATTATATAAGGCTACCCACAAAGGATTTTACTGTAAAGACGACCTAAAATAAACCTAACTAAAATTTTACGATTCCAATGGGGGAATATAAAGAAAACAGACTGTATAAATTCCTTACAGTCGTCTCTGAAGTCTCAATAGTAGGGGAAAATGTTATCTTCTATGACTATTACTATTTATAAAAAAAATATTTTGTTATTTGACTATCTGTAATAGGTTTGCACTGTCTGAGGTTCAACAGTTTGAGTTTGAAAGGCTGGTCAGCTGGTGCAGTAAACAATATACAGGTAAAAAATTGTCATTTGTTAAATTTTTTTTGCGCACAATTTTTTCCAACAGCGCAATTATTTTCGTCTTCAAACTTTCTTTTATAAGTCACAATAATCAGGATGTTGCTAATTAGGGATATGTTTATGTCTGCAAAAAGTGTTTTGGAAAATTCGATTAATCATAAAATATCTAGGACTGCTTTTAATCTATCCAATAATTTTAAATCTAGGACTTATCTAAACAATCCAATGATTATATCTAGGACTTATAAACCCTATCCAATGATTATATATCTAGAACTGTATCCTACCTATCCAATGATTATATATCTAGGACTGTATCTAAACTATCCAATGATTATATATCTAGGACTGTATCTAACCTATCCAATGATTATATATCTAGGATTGTATCTAACCTGTCCAATGATTATATATCTAGAACTGTATCTAACCAATCCAATGATTATATATCTAGGACTATATCTAACCTGTACAATGATTATATATCTAGGACTGTATCTAACCTATCCAATGAATATATAACTAGGACTATATCTAACCTGTCCAATGATTATAAATCTAGGACTCTATAAACCCTATCCAATGATTATATATCTAAGACTGTATCCTACCTATCCAATGATTATATATCTAGAACTGTATCCTACCTATCCAATGATTATATATCTAGGACTGTATCTAACCTATCCAATGATTATATATCTAGGACTGTATCTAAACAATCCAATGATTATATCTAGGACTTATAAACCCTATCCAATGATTATATATCTAGAACTGTATCCTACCTATCCAATGATTATATATCTAGGACTGTATCTAACCTATCCAATGATTATATATCTAGGACTGTATCTAAACTATTTAATGATTATATATCTAGGACTGTATCTAACCTATCCAATGAATATATAACTAGGACTATATCTAAACTATTTAATGACTATATATCTTGGACTGTGTCTAACCTATCCAATGATTATATATTTATGACTGTATCCAACCTATCCAATGATTATATATTTAGGACTGTATCTAACCTATCCAATGATTATATATCTAGGACTGTATCTAACCTATCCAATGAATATATAACTAGGACTATATCTAACCTGTCCAATGATTATAAATCTAGGACTCTATCTAACCAATCCAATGATTATATATCTAAGACTGTATCTAACATATCCAATGATTATATATCTAGGACTGTATCTAACCTGTCCAATGATTATATATCTAGGACTGTATCTAATCTATCCAATGAATATATATATAGGACTACCTCTAACCTTCCTACTTGGTTTCTACGTATCCCTGGTAGTGAAGAGGTGGTGGGAGCAGTACTGTAAGCTCCCCTGGCCGGATAATATTGCCAGCTATCTCAGGGGCTTGTGTGTCAGCAAGGATGAAAAGGCTAAAATTATCCGGAGAACCGTTGTAAGGTTAGATAATTTTTAAACGTATCAAATTGGAGGTTTCTTGAAAAGGGGACAGCAGAATAATAAGTTTACTCTTTTCAACTTTGGCTTTTGAATAAGTCGTTTTTTTATTCACCATATTACGTAATAAAATCCTATACACATTTTTTCACCATCCTACTGAAACGTAAGTTGATCAATACTTTTAAAGCTTTGTGCTAAATAAACCTTTTGAATAAATTTATATAAATAATTTTCGTTTGTACGCCATGCCAAAAGGTTTTTAATGATATATGTTTGAACGAATTTTCAAAACGTTCTTTAACTAAATTTAAAGCATACAATTTGGGAATATGTGTGATTTAAGTATATAAATGAATGATTACAGACGGATTAGAGAATGATATAAAATAGTATCCTAAAGCTGAAAATGATTTTATCTCCAGGTATACTTTACTCTCGTATATCCTGTGTATCCGGAGATTAAGGTTAATATTATTATCTGTACATGGTTATATCGAGGTATAGTTTGGTCTCGTATATCCTGTGTATCCGGAGATTAAGGTTAATATTATCTGTACATGATTATATATCCAGGTATACTTTACTCTCGTATATCCTGTGTATCCGGAGATTAAGCGTGAGGCTGAGGAAAAGATTTCCAACCATGAAGGAAGTTGTTAAATCAGGGTTGGTCAGACAAGACGAAGCGATCAGGTAAAATTATTTTAAATGAGATTGTCCACTAAATTGCAACCGACCATCCATTTACAGAGCTAAAATGGGTCCTTATTAATCTTTATCTGGGTAACAATGAGTAAGATATCGTTGTTTTTCCATATTGAAAAGATGATAAGTTTAACACATTTTCTTCCTTGACTATGCTCACCCCAGTCTTAAAGTTGCACGATCCGTGTCGGTACACCACGTAAAGTACATGCATTCAGTCGTGCTGTCCAGTCTGGACTACCCAGTTTAGAGTTGACCCAGCACGTTTTATGCAACAAATGTAGCCTGGCAAGATCACAGTGTGCTGCATAAATACTGAAACCGCAATTATAAAGCTACAAGGATTTCTCTTCTGTTCTGTTTATCCAAGAAGTATGAAATAGAAGAGAGATACAACTGACGCGGTCCACTCTATCATATGAATTTACTGTATACATGCTTTGCAGACAGTACTCCATTTGAATGAGAAATATTGTCTGATGTACAATTACCGCGCATACAATAACCTATTCTGAATATTTAATATACAAATATATAGTACCGTCTGAAAACAGGGGCGTATTCAGGAATTTGTCCAGGGGGGGTGCTTAAATTTTTTTCTTTCCAGGGGGGGGGGGGCTCAGTACCCGTTTGGGTATGAAAACCCCCTGAAATCAATAGATTTCACTGGTCCAGGGGGGGGGGGTTAGCCCCAATAGCCCCCCTGAATACGCCTCTGGCTGCAAAGCATGCATGATCATATGGTAGGGCGGATCGCGTCGCGTCGCGTCTCCCTTTTTTCATGCTCCTAGGTTTATCAAATCTAACTTGAAAAACTTGATTAGAGTTTACAATGTATCATGCACTGTATATAATGTACATAATGTATTGTACAGGATAGGAGATGAGGATAATTGGGATATGTACGCTTCTAATTGGACCTTGCCTCTTCAATGGAGTTTAGAAATAGGTATATATTAATTTTATGCATTTTACACTATACACTTTCATGCAGGCTAATTTATACAGAATTTTGTTTACCTTAGTTTTAAATCTGTTTTTTTTTCATTCTTTATCTTAACGTGTTTTTTTTTCAGTTGAGAAGGCTCAACAGGACGGATACATTACAAGTGCCCCTGGATATGTCTTAATCATATCTCAGATTAATATATTCAGGAACCAAGAAACCTAAACTCAGATTATCTAAAACCTAGAATATATTTTTTAATCTAATCGAAGTTGCTCACTCAGGAGTTTTTATGTTGGGTTTTATCAAGTTTATCCAGGGACCAGAAATAATTAACACCGAGAGGTAGCTGAACTTCGAAGAAGTTATTTAGCCACTTCTCTCCAGCTCCAGCTTTAAGTTTCTGTACGAAAAGGTTCGGATCGAGTTGGCTCCAGCTCTCCTGGTTTACAAATTAACAAGTTATGGCTGTTTTTTTCTTACTTTTTATCCAAGGTTTATTTTGGGTTTACACTAGCTCCTTGTTCCATATTGAACAAGGTTTAGATTGGGTTTACACTAGCTCCTTGTTCCATATTGAACAAGGTTTAGATTAGGTTTACACCAGCTCCTGGTTCCATATTGAACAAGGTTTAGATTAGGTTTACACCAGCTCCTGGTTCCATATTCATCAAGGTTTAGATTGAGAATACTTTAGCTTTGAATACAAAATCCGACAAGGTTTAGGTTGGTTTGGATTCAACTTTAGATTAAAAGGTTTAGGTTAGATTGGATCCAGCTTTAGATTAAAAGGTTTAGGTTGGGTTGGGTCCAGATTTAGATTAAAAGGTTTAGGTTGGGTTGGATCCAGATTTAGATTAAAAGGTTTAGGTTGGGTTGGATCCAGATTTAGATTAAAAGGTTTAGGTTGGGTTGGATCCAGATTTAGATTAAAAGGTTTAGGTTGGGTTGG